GGTTATTTGAACTCCGATTTTGATGATTTTTTTACAGCTACACTCTTTGACCCTATATGAATACAATGAACTAATTCGATCGTCAATTTCAAATGTATAAGTGTGCATATATTATATTACAATAAAGTAATATATATTTGCGCGACGAGAGGTAAATTTTCGTCGCGCAAAACGTCTTCACGCGACAGTAGGTTGGTTGTCGCACAAAATTCTAACTTTACGCAACGAGTGGGTTCTGCGTCGTGCATAGTTTGCGCAACGAGAATAGAATCGTCGCGCAAGGATTTGGCGCCATTTACATATTTAGCTCAACTTATGTATCATTTTCATGTTTTTAAAATGTTTTGTGTCAATAATTTTCAAACTTTGTATCAAAAGGGTTTGGATATATTTATTTACCAATGTTTTATAACAAAATTGTTTCCATTTTTCATTTTTTAAAAGTGTTTTGTCAAAATAATTTTAAACAATTATTATTAAAAGGGCTTCGATATATTGATTTACCAATGTTTTATAACTAAATTTATTTTAATAATGTTTCATTTCTCTACATATATAAGGTTTTGATATAACAACTACATATATTCAAATATTTGTATTACACAAAATCTGTACACTAACATAATATAATTACAACAAATTCATTATTCATCATCTGAACTATAATAACTGTTATTATCGTCGCTATCATCACTTTCGGTCTCCCAATCCTCCTCCCACTACTACAAAAAGTGAAAAAGACGACCAGAAAAAGACGACGGTAGAAGAAAAAACCTTCGTTGTATTTAAAAAGATGACGATAACAAAAAACCGTCGTGAACAACTAGAAACCGGAGGTACTGTTGAATATTTTTTTATAACGACGCACACAAATAAAAAAGCGTCGCCTTATTAAAAAGGTTTTCTTCATAGTTAAAATCTGACCAAAAAACAACGACGGCATGTATGACAAGCGTCGTCTTTTAAAAATCAAGGGTCATTTTTTTGGTAAAGACGTGGTTGTTTTGATAAAAACCGTCGTCTATTATATGTAAAGATGACGATTTTTATACAAACCGTCGTCTATTATATGTAAAGATGACGCTTTTTATAAAAACCGTCGTCTATAGTATGTAAAGATGACGCTTTTTATAAAAAAACCGTCGTCTATTGTATGTAAAGATGACTCTTTTTATAAATCGTCGTCTATTGTTTGTAAAGATGATGCTTTTTATGAAAACCGTCGTCTATTGTATGTAAAGATGACGCTTTTTATAAACCGTCGTCTATTGTATGTAAAGATGACGTTTTTTATAAAAACCGTCGTCTATTATATGTAAAGATAACGCTTTTTATAATAATAAAAAAGGTTGTCTATTGTATGTAAAGATGACGCTTTTTATAAGCATGGTATGGGACGTGCAGGTCTGCTTGTCCAGTTATATGAATTAACGGGATTAGATGAAGAGCATTCATGCATTGTTACTAATAATGTGAAATTTGGCTGCTTGATTATTTGTCACTTAATTTAATTATATCAATTTATAGTAAAAAGGTTTATGTCCCTACTGAGCTGTGGTTTCGCTCACCCCCTAATAGATTTTGCAGGTACCGAACCTGAAATCTAGAGCCTTTGATTATTTTTGGCATGTCTATAGAATGTAACATAGTTTGTGGTTGAATAATGAGCTACTCTTTAAGTGAACTCTCGAGTAGTTCTAACTTGTAAAATAATGTAAAATTTTTATGGTTTCAAACGTTATCGTTTCCGCGTTTCTGCTGAATATTTTATACCCCCTAATAGATTTTGCAGGTACCGAACCTGAAATCTAGAGCCTTTGATTATTTTTGGCATGTCTATAGAATGTAACATAGTTTGTGGTTGAATAATGAGCTACTCTTTAAGTGAACTCTCGAGTAGTTCTAACTTGTAAAATAATGTAAAATTTTTATGGTTTCAAACGTTATCGTTTCCGCGTTTCTGCTGAATATTTTATACGAAATATCTATTTTATTTATTTAAATGTCTTCTTCACATTTTAGTTATAGTTTTTATTAAATTCTATAATTAAAGTGTGAATCACGTCGTAACCCAAGGTTTTGTAAATCCGAGGGTTGGGGTGTGACAATAATCCTAACCTACACTAGAAACAGGAAACTTGTTATTTATTTTCTTTTATAAAGGAAGAAATAGTAAACTTTTTTTTTTTTTAAATATTTGTAAACTAGGAACATTCTATATCCTTAGGTACTTAGGGCCCGACTTGTATCCCTAGATTGCAAATAAATGCATCAATTTAATATCTAATCAAACACGGATACCCTGCTCTGCTCCTCGGGTACTTAGGGCTCGTCTGATAACAGTTTTGGAGAATGTTTTTCAGAAAATTAAAATGAGAAAACGAGTTTGCATCTTTAGGATTCAAGAATGCATCTTGTAGATTAATTGGAAAATAGTTTCATAAAACAAAAACAGTGAAACGTGTCTGGTAGTATAATTTGAGAATAAATAAGAGAAATAAAAAATGTTGCATCATCTATAATCAAAATGTAAAGCATTTTTCGAAGGCATTTTTGTTAATGTCTCATATAGAAGGGGGAAAAAAAGTGTAAAATTGAAAGCCCATATTTGCCCTCTTCAAAATTAAAATTCCAACAGTATTCATCTTCCAATAATTAATTAAAAATATATAACAAAAAAGTCCCAGTTTGTCGTCTCATCCTCTCTCTCTCACAACAACTCTCATGTCTATTGATAGGATTAGTAATGTGAAATTTTGTGAGCCTTATTATGATATGTCAATTTGAGAATGTATATTTATGCTGCCTGTGGGCTATTTGTGAGCCTTAGTTGTGAACTTTTGATAATGTCAATTTCTTTGAGCAGCCAATTTGAGAATGCTGAGTTTAAAAAGAAAAAAGAATTGAGGAGATCGTATCTTTTTCCCCTATAACACCAAGAGCGTAGATATGCAGTCCTTGGGTTCTTTCCAGTTGACTTTTTAATGCTGCCTGTGGACTATTTCCACCTTGGCTTCTATCTGTAAAACCCAATTACGTTCTGAGAAACTCGACCAAAAGGAAAATAAAAACACTTATACCCTTAGTTGAAAGAACCTGTGCATACACTTCATTCTTCTACGCAACGCAACAGCCAACACACACATCAGAGACCATGTCTTATTTTGCACTCACTTTGTGAATGCTTAGTTTTAAAAGAAATAGAACTGGAGAGATCAAATCAAATGTATCATATCAACTATCAGATAAAGATAACAATCAATAACATATTTTAACCCTGTAACACCAAGGGGCTAGATGGCAGTAAAAGACCTCAATAATATCTTATCAAAGACGGATTCCCTGCTCCTCAACTACTTACATTACATGTTGTTTTCTACTACATGTCCCTCCTTCCATCCGCTTCTTATTTTTTTATTCATCTTCTTTTTCCGTTTGCAGTCAGGTTTTTTCTGGTTGGCTTTTTCAAGCTGCCTCAGGACTTTTCATGCTGCATGTGCGCTATTTCCTCCTTGGTTTCTCTGCAAAACCAAATTACATTATGAAAAACTCAACCAAAAGGCTAATAAAAATACTTATAGACATACAAACTATTAAGTCTCTTGATTCGTGGTCATTAAATAAATAAAAATATTTCATGTAAACACATTTGTTTCACCTCCCACATCAAAGAATTCACATCCATAGTGGTTTCGTCTTCTTGTTTTGGATGCTCCATGCTAGCTGCACCCTCCCCTTCTATGGGTTCATAATCCTCACACTCTCTGAGAGTCATAATCAACAGAAACTATATTTATATGGGTTCGGATACATAAAAAGTGTCACAGAATCCAATGTACAAATTAATGTTTTTGATGAAAACACAAGAAATGTGAGGAGAACTTACGGTGTGAAGCCAAACGTGACCATCAACGGACCACAAGCCTCGATATCCATTGTAAGAACTGTTGAATGTAAGGTCTCGATCATATGTCTTCCGTCTTCTCGAACAAATATTTGAAACGTGGTGATGCAAAGATGTTGAACCTTGTAAAATTCAAAATTATTGCCCGTCGTAACATGAAAGAAGTCATGGTTCCCCAAATGCACAAAATAGTCATTCTTAAGCACCTCAAATGGACATGGCGGAGATGCAATCTTCAAGCCATCCAATTTACACAGCTTGATTAGTGAGTATGCAATACTACCGTCGTCGTGTTTGTTCATCTTCAAGGAGAATGCTATAATCTCATCCACCTCAAACAGATTCATGGCGTAGATGGTCTTGCCTACAACCACGGCCCTCCCTCGGAAAGGAGTATAATCATGAGTGTCAACTTCCACTTTATTCCAAATCTCTTTACCCACGTGAAAAGCAACCACATTAGAGCTTTTGCGTCCGTCAAACAATGTATACAAAATAATGCCATGACAAACAGCATAACCAGTTACCCTCCTAGGAAAAGGATAACTGAATGGAAACTCAGGCATTCGCTCCCAATTTTTCTTATCAGGATTGTATTTCGCAAAGGATGGAAGTGGATCTGCTTCGAAGGGCGATGCATTTTCAAGAAAATAGAGTCTGTCATAAGCAGACACAACTGTTCTACTCGGCTTAAACTCTAAGGTAGTAGTTATGAAGGGATCTAATTTCCTAGTTTTGGTATCAAATGACCTGAGGCAAAGTTTATCGCAACCATCCTTTGTAAATATATATAGTTGGGAGCGGTTGAAAATCCTTGCACCTGTTTTAAAACGGCTGAACTTGTCTACAGGTTCAAGTGTTGCTCCTCCGCCCATATCATCAACTTCTCCCCCGTATTTGAATTTAACTTCATACAGGGCACCTGTGTCTTCCCTATTGCAAGTCATCACTAAAAACACAGATCTATGTTCCCCCGATTTACCGTCATTGATGCATGCTCCACCATGGGCAAACTGGACAGAGAACAGAGAGATATAGAATAAGTCAAGTTAATCTTCTTAGACAAGTCGAAAAAGTTTATAAAATAAAAAACAACGGCGAATCAGGAAAAACAACAATTAAGCCGTGCACTGACCTTGGGTAAGGATGAACGGCCCCATGTTTGTGAGCGCGGGCCCTACTGGCTCGTAGTAGGTGAAGCTCCTCCCATATTGATTTCTTCAAATCGACCAGTTGGATGTGCTGCGTGGATATCGCGGCTAGAGATTTCTCGATCTCTGATATCTTGCCCAGGAGCTTATCTTCGCCTGAAGCCATCGTCAAGGCATGGTCCTGAACATCTTGAACCGAGGTGAGCACAGCGGCCGCCATGATACGAGATGATTGATAGGGTCTTTGCTATTGGAATGATAAATTGAGGGACAAGGGAATTTAGGGTTTGGGGATGCCGCTGCAGAGGGGAGTTTTTATAACGGTTGGTTTGGGGTATGATATGAGGAAAGTTTCGAACTCGTATAAAATATACCACACAACACATAAAATTGGTCTACCCGTTTTATCGTGCACATTAATTAGGACCAGAGAATTGACTTCCCATTTCAGTCCATAATATTTTGGCTAAGTATTGATTTCTTTATTCTTTTTAGATTCCCTTTTTAAACTTTCTACCAATAATTTAGTGTCAGAATTTTCCAATGTTACTTGTTTTATCATGCAATATTTTATAATATTTGAGTTTTTTTACTTGTTTTAAGAGATTGGTGTTTTAGAGTAAGTGGTTTAGTTTAAATCCTATATAATTTACATGCGGCTCTCCCTCTTGGATCTCTCTTTGATTCAATATCTTTTTTTGCTTCCCTCTCCTTCACTGGATCAAAGGTGTCGTTGGATTTGTCTTTGACTCCATATCGTTCTTGCGTCACTGTCTTTGTCTACGATAATCAAAGGTTAGGTTACCTTATGTTTTCTCATTCATGATCTAGCTTTTGTTATATTTTCTTTTGAACATTAATTGACCAACAATACATCTTTACCTGATTTCTTTTGGACTGTGAGTAGTTTTTGTTTTTTGAACATTGATTGACCAACAATACATCTTTATCAAACCAATAATGCGACTCTCCAATAACTTAGCTCAAGTCAAGTCATTAAATTTAAACTATTTAAATTGTAAGATAATTAGTTTAAATTTTTTATATAAAATGTTAAAACAAGAATAATGAGTGTAATCCTAAGCCCCCACGATTGGTTGTGTACTATCCCTCTGTTGTTCATAATCCCACCAGCCTTTCATAATCGCATGCCACGCAAGAGATTCATGGCACACGTTTGTGATTGACGAAAACATATGCCTTCATAATCCTTACTCCCACAAGAAAATTTGAAACCATAGATTCTTTGGTTGATTTGTGAGGGATAAATTATTTTATTTTGGAAATAGCTGTTATACAAAAAATTACAAAAGTAAAAATAAAAAATTGAGTCATGCCAAGTGTTTTATCAGTTTTGTGCCTGTTTCGGGTCTGGTACAGTAAGCTGTTGTGGGGCTCTTTGTTGGCTCGTCCAAATTGACTGTTGTCTATTGCTTTCTCAGTTTCGTTTGTTGCTGTTGTCTCTTCTTCCCTTGTTTCCAATCTAACCTATTCGAATTTTTGTGGATTATTTTTTATTTTAGATTTCTTTGAATTGGAACGTCTGCCAAATTCAGGTGGTGTTAAATATTATGCCACGTACTGTTGGATTTTCTGCATATAAATTTACAAAGTTGGTTGCCGAAGAAAGGTCTTTTCCCAATGGTGATTTGAACTTTGCAAAATTAAATTTCCAGTTTTCGTTTTAGAAAACATCCTTTTTATGAAAAAAAAAAAAAGGGCATTTTTTTCCCTCTCATATCTTGTTTAGCAGAATTGTTTGAGTGCTATATTTTAATTACAATACTGGTTTTCTTGCAGATTTCTTTTATTGTTAATTTTAAGAAATGGATGACCAGGAAGAGCTATTTAATTTTGCAAAAGATGAGTATGAGAGGAATGAGTCACATGACAAGGTTATTGGACCGATGGTTTGTTGTTACAGTTTGTCCTTTGATTCCAATATATCAGAAGAATCGTATAAGGGGTTTTTATATTTTAAACGTAATGGGAAACCGATACCTGTGACATTTGTAAAAGTTGACGGAGTTGATGGGAAAGATGCTGCTAGTAGGGCGGAATTAATTTTTCATACGACTGATGGAGTTAGTAATGCTGTGGTTTTAAGGCCTCGGAGGCATTTGTTCATTAAGCAGAAGCATTTTGCCAAAATTCCTGATGACATAGAGATGAGGAAGGGTGTATGGTGTGTTTGTTATGATCGTTTTGAACCTCTCAATCATTGGACCGAAAGGGTTCAGTCGGGTGAAATTGTTCAGTATGATGATAAGGTTAAATTACCTATTCGGACTCCTGATGACCGTCTTCAAGATTTTTGGCGTATATCTATTAGGTAATTCGTTAGTATTAATTCTTTAAGGTTACTGTTTAGTTTGGTTTCAATTATTTTTGACATAAGTATTTTGTATTTCTGTAGGAATTTGATTCATTGTGTGCGTAGCATTCATGATAAGGGCTTATTCCATGGTGGTTTGCGTAAGCGGTCTAATTTTGTGTTTGTTGACAAAAAGTTGAAAGTAATCCACGTTGAGGGATCCTTGGCTGGCTTGAGTCCTCCTGAACAAGACGAAAGAAAGAAAAAAGATATCATGGACCTTAGGACGATGTTAGATTCTTGGTTCAAGAAAATTTTGGGGTCCAAATATAAATGGAACGAATGTAGTAGCTTCTTGAAGTTCTTCGACTGTGTTGAGCATTTGGAGTGAGTTCTCTCATACTTCAACTTCTTGTTCTTTTCTTCTTCTTTCTACTTCATTTCTTATAGGATGTGCTTTTGGTCTTTTCAGCTATCCTGATTGTGTCATGAAATTGGCATCTCATCCGTTCTTGTTAAGCTCTGAAGAAAGGATGGGTATGTTTGCAAGTTATTATCGTGAGTGGCAGAAAGTTATTACACGGCAAGATATGGAAGATGCTTTCAAATCATCTGATTTTGATAAGTTCAAATCATGGAACCGTGATCCTGTCCTTTGTTCTATGGATAAATTTATGAAAGGAGTTTATTATCATTCTTGTGGCAACTACACTGGGGACGTGGTGAACCTTCTTAGGTACTTGAGGAATTTGTACAATCATTATTATCAATTAAAGGCTTTGACTGTTAATATGGTAGATGTGGACCGTGGTGTTCAAAAGCTGTTTGCTGGGTTTTTAGAGCTCCTGCACAAACATTTGCCTACAGTTCCGTAGTGTTAAGATTTGTCTTTCCATTTTAGATTCTATACAATAGAGGATGCATATGTAAGAGTAAGACAAGCGTATAATATTTTTCTTTCCATTACTTTAATTAGCAGATCTTTGCCTAATAGCATGACTTGTATTAAGCGTATCAAGCAAACTTGCACAGCAGAGCATCAATCAAAAATCATCTGCCTTTGAAGACCTATGTGACATGTTGGCAATATCTGCTTTATTAGGCAGTATGTCTGTATATCTGGTCAAAAGTTTTTAGCACAAGTCTCATCAGTGGGATGTGAACAGATTCCTTTATATGTCATCACCGCAATCTCTTCGTCTTTGGAAAGGCGCTGGACTTGCCTTTCGACATTTGAACCCTTAATGCCTGCAGTTATAGTAGCTTCTGCATAAACTAGTCAAACAAGCTAATTACTAGAAATGTTGTTCGAACACCCTCTAAAACCTCTTAAAAAGCATGAACATATGTATCCATTAGTGCAATCACAAAGCAGTATGAAGTTCCAAATAAATAAAGGACCAGCTAGTCTTCTTTTTTTTTCTTTTTTTTTTTGAAAAAAAATATATCACATCAGAAAGAGATTTATCCGCAATATATCAGCTGTATCAACAGGGAATCAAATTCTTTGTTGACAATAGATCCTAAGTGAACACTTCTGTCAAGATTTCCACCTTATTTGAATCCTCCAATCAGTTTGAAAGGCTACCTGTTAGCAGTAATATTAACCTTGATAATGCAAGTCTATCAATCATAGGTATTCTTTCCTTCACCTAGATACCATAAAATTTGTTCGAGTAAACTCTAGTCCAAAAAGTATCCGTCACTAGTCGCAGCTATTTTCTATTCCATGGTCAACCGAAAGAAATAACTAGTGAGCAGCTAATCCAACATTCCCCAAAGTTTAGTAAATTTCGACAGGGACAAAGCGTATACTGGTTCGGCAACATAATGTATGTACCCTGTATCTTTAACCATTCCTTCGATAACCCCACTTCTAAATTTTGATTTTGCAACTCCTTTTCCAAATGTTAGACTGTTTTGCATCATCAAGTCTCTACAGTAGGACAAGGTTTACCATTCCTAAGTACAAATGAACATCCAGCCTTTAATTAATATGTCAAGCATAAGAGTATCCAATCCAGATAATAGAACATTTCTAGCACTCATAACAACCCTTATGGGCTCATGTCAAAATTAAGATCTCAAGAACTTACCCATGCTCTGTTACATTAGCCTTGTCAGCTGCGGGAGCAGGATCCCGTGAACCCATGACCCGAGGATCCTGTGAACCCATACCCTATAATAAGAAGCAATATACCAAATTCAGACATTCTTGTCAGATGAGCCTAAAAAGCAAGTGCTAATCCAAAGAACAGTGGGTAACTCTCACCAATTTTGCAGGTGTGTTGGAATCGTAGTTATTCATGGAAGAATATAAAAAGGGAGAAAGAATATATTACTAACAACAGAAACGCTGAATTTTGTTAGAGAGATGGAAAACGTCGGGTAGAATCAGATGGTGTTATCTTGGTTAGTAAATAT